GGTCCACGCCTGTAGGTGTATTAATCCACGCCTGTAGGTGTATCGGTCCACGCCTGTAGGTGTATTAGTCCAGGCCTGTAGGTGTATTGGTCCACGCCTGTAGGTGTATTGGTCCATGCCTGTAGATGTATTGGTCCACGCTTGTAGGTGTATTGGGCATATAGAGCTAGACCTATATTTTATAGACCACTCTACATTTGGTGGGTGATATGGTCAAAATCACGCCAGTCGCCTTTACTACCCCGTTCAGCTTCTTCAGCAGGCGGCTCCAGCAATTTCTATAACTGGGTGTACTCTATTATCCTGTGTAGTAAAAGATTTGCCTTGGTGTAGTGGAAGATTTATGTGTAGGGGAAGATTCACCTCGGTTCCCTGTAGGGAAAGATTTATCTCGGTGTCTGGAGACAAATTCTAACAACAGGACAATGGGCGACCATCAGATATTGCGGCGGTTTTTAAACTGTTACAGAGTTATGGCTGAAATATTTATTAACCCGAGTGGTTATTACGTTTTCTTATATTAGTATTTACAATCGTTGTGTAAATCGTCAGTGTTTCTAAAACTTCTCTGATGTATGAAAATTTAGATAGAAGACAGCGCCGCATATTATTGAAGAAACTCACAGTCCCCAAACGCCTGTTCTTTTTAGAACCAACATTATCACAAGATATAATCTTTGGTGACCGAAGTATGAAGGTGGGCACAGGATAGAAAAAACGCTCTTAGTATGTACATGCATGGAGGGGGGTGGGGCTGGAAAACACACAATTCTTGTTTTCTCTCGATTTTCCTCATTTGGCAGTGTGGAGGCATGCACGTGACACCTGTAATCCGTCCTACTTTGCACTGCAAAAGTAAAATGCATTTGGCAACTACTTATTATTAGTGTTTATAATTTTTTACAAATACGCCGCTCGGTTTAGGTCTGGAATATAGCGAAAAGAACGCACGCTGCCTACTTGTACAGAAACTCTAACGTGCAAAATCTACCAGATACCAGTATACGATGCTAAATGTTAATGTATGCTCTTAAAAGCGAAGCGACAAGGAGAAAAATATCACGTGGTACCTTCTCTAGTTTCATGGTGACCTGTTAACACTTACACACGCGAATAGATGACACCTAGCCACTGCCATCGAGCTGCAGCCTGAAATATTGACACTCAGTGACTCAAAGAGATACTTTGTTTTAGGTGCAAGTATGGTTCTTATCACAATTTTGGGCCCTGGCTCCGCCCATTTATACACTTATAAATGACGGAGGCAGGACAGGACACCGTGATTCGACCGTCAGACTCCGCCTTGAACTGCCACATGGTCACCTGTAACAGGCAGAGGTGTCAGCGGTCTCTCCTGCGTATATGTTGGAGTGCGGACAGGTACACAATGGCTTTTCGGAGCGACTTAGTATATTATTAGTGTATGTTGATGGGTACATGAGAGCCGTCTAGGATTGTGCTTAGGAAATAAGTTTATTGTAGAGGGTAGAGTTCTGTGTCTGCAGCGACACGTAGAATGCACTGTCTCGTAGTACCTAGGTTCAGTTTGTCGCGAAAAGGGTTTGGTTAGGCTAGTTGCAAATTTTATGGGGTCGTTAAAATCGCTAACTTGCTGTAGTATAGAGGTCGTGTCTGTCAAGGAATGACACGCCACTACACATATTCTTAAAAGAGTCGGGACGTGTATTACCCGTGCTCGACAAAACTTTCAAACTTGGACTCGTCCGGAAAGGTATATAGTCCCTTATATCGATATATACCTTTATCGGATACAATTATAATGTCTACACCTTCTAGCTGCTTTGACTTATAGTCATTTTCAAATTTGCAACTGTAGGATAATTATTGCTGGGGTTATTTGAATATTCATGGAAACCGGTTTACTCCTTGCTCATGTATACAAGGAACTTCTTCTTACCGACGCGAAGCTTGATTTTGTGCGGGGATTCTTCTGCCGGAATTCCTAGAACCCAGATGTATTCATCGACGCCTCAGTAAATTTCACTTTAAGAAGGCGGCATGTAGTGTCTAGGACTTTTCCTATGCTTGGGATGAAACCTCTGTAAAGAGCTGGCAGATTAATCACAGTCCTACCAACATCCACCAACCAACTATCCACCAGCTAACACCAGTGAATGTACCTGGCATCATGGTTGTGCCATATACAACCATCATTTTAACATGACCAGGGAGTGTGAGTAAGCTCCAGAGCAGGTGGACATTTGCAGAGATGATCCATAATCGAGTGTACCAGTCTTCAGGAGCTTGGTAGAGCCCAGAGACAGAGTTGTGACCTGACCTGTGGGAGAGACTTGCTGAGTTACTATATAGTTTCGGTGTCCTCTATGGTGAGGTACTCCTCTATGACTTAATCCACTGGAAGCAGAACTACCAGAGTCGAATACAGACAAATCACCAGGAGCTGAGGGGAACATCAACCATAGAATTCTGATAAGTGCCAGTTTTGTTTCTATATCATGCTTTATTCACCACAGCTCAAATGGATTCCCATGATGACAATGTGTTACCTCCAGGACTTTCTGGCTGTTTTAATAATCGTTGAGTCGAGTCACTGTATTCTGGGATTCATCCACTGAAATCTGGTGTCCACTTCACTATTTTATGTATATGTTGTATTGATTACATGCATTCATTTTCATGGATGACTTAGGTGTCTCTATTTCACTGTTCTAAGTGTTTAGCATTATTGTGTGTATGAACCGTAAATATTATATGTGTTAACATGGTTATGATAGTAAACTATCATAACCTGGGGGCTTTATTTTTATAGTAGTGGGGGTGTCCAGCCAAGTGTGCCTAGGAATATTGTATTCATATACAGATATATTTTGTAGTGCCAAAACTTGAGTTGCCCTACTCCAGAAATAAGTTGAGCGTATATTGGCCATGGGGCATCCCTTAGACCAATACGAGCCAAACGACTCAACATAATCATTTCTGAGTGTTGTTGGTTCTTAAGGAGAAATCCTTAAATCAGGCACGTGACAGGAGTGAAATGTGACAGTGTCACAGGAGGATGTTTTCGATGTCTTTAGGTCGTAAGTCGTAAGGAGTCATAAAATGACGCCTATCGGACACAGCCACGGCGACACTGTTTAACCTTTCGACTCGGCTGTTCAGGTATAAATGAAAAGTTGCGTAGTGTTTATATGGGCGGAGCCAGGGCCCGAAATTGTGATATGAACCAAACGTCCTTTATTGAGGCAGGTTGAGAGCCGCTGACTCAGTACATCCTTGTTGAATGTTATCTCCCGTGAGATAATCCCTGGTTCTCCCACCCCAACATGTGTCCTGTAGAACACAGTAACCTTATACACACTCATTCGTGAGTGTGTTAACTGTCTACGCGAGCTGTCCGACTTTTTCCTGACAGGACACTGGACTGTCGAAGCCACCAGACTTCACCCTAATATTGGTCCATTATTATTTGGACCCAAGAAAAGGAATTACATTGCTTATTATACACATCTGTACAGGTAGGACAGGTTGTCTAATCTTCCAGTAAAATTATTAAAACTAGTGTCCCTACTTTCATGTTTCTAACACATTAAAAAGTAAGGGCTATTCTAATGGGTATGTTATACTTCCGCTTCTTCTTCATCTTCTTCTTCTTCTTCTTCTTCTTCTTCTTCTTCTTCTTCTTCTTCTTCTTCTTCTTCTTCTTCTTCTTCCTTCTTCTTCTTCTTCTTCTTCTTCTATCTTCTTCTTCTTCTTCTTCTTCTTCTTCTTCTTCTTCTTCTTCTTCTTCTTCTTCTTTTTTTCTTCTTCTTCTTCTTTTCTTCTTCTTCTTTCTTCTTTCTTCTTCTTTTTTCTTCTTCTTCTTCTTCTTCTTCTTCTTCTTCTCTTCTTCTTCTTCTTCTTCTTCTTCTTCTTCTTCTTCTTCTTCTTCTTCTTCTTCTTCTTCTTCTTCTTCTTCTTCTTCTTCTTCTTCTTCTTCTTCATCTCCCCCCCCCATCCCCTCCCCCAACTGCACTAGACGGTTAATGCCAATGATTTTATATAATTACTTTATGAAGGATTTATACTTCCATAACTGAATATTGAAGAAGGTTGGCTATTAAAGACGATAACACACAGAAAATGGAATTATTTCGGTCACTTGAAACGTCAAAAAAAAAGTTTAGAGAGGAACAATAAGGGAGGGTTGTATGCCTGTGAAGAGAGGAAGAGGAATGCCAAAGAGAAGATGGGTACAAGATGTAGCATATGATCTACAGATGGGTGTATCGGACGCGGGACATATTGCTTGTGATCGAGACGTTTTTCAGAGCGTTGTTATGGAAGCAAGGTTCTACCACCGCCAACTCTAGATTTATAGCTAAAGATGGCCGTGGTTCTACAAAGGACATGCTACTGACTGGCTGACTTTTAAAAGATAAACATTTACCTCATATCATACACTATAAGTAGGCTGACCAAATGTACTGCTTATTTGTTTGTTGTTGTTGTTTTCCCTGCACATCTATGAGGTTTTTTAACAGCCCTTTAAAAGTTGGAAAAAAATTAACAATGATTGTTTGAAATGTATAGCTCCAAACAAAGAATAAAGAACTCATTTCACGGTATGTAATGCAAAAACCTGCCCGACTATGTCAACACTTTCATATTCCTGCCTTGGTTTGGTTTCGAACTCACGAGCACGACACCAGCAAGTAACGCTGCTAGTTACTGCACTCGTCAGTTTCGTGTCGTCAGTACAGTGGCCTTAGAAGAGGAGGGCAGGGAGTGCGGGCTGACCCGATTGTCATCACTCAGGGGGCTGACAAAGTGGCAAAAATATGTGCTTTCAACATTTAAAAAAAAAAAATGTGTGCGTGCGCGCCCGCGCATGTGTGCAAGGGTGTGGGGTGGGGAAAGCAGGAAATTGTCCGTATTGGGAACCACCTGTCCTTGCTATGCCTCTGCCTCAGCGTATTACATTTAATGATGCCGTGCATTCCAGTCGGTGTCAGATCTGCAGGTCTCTGACAACACCGGCCATGGCGTGGACATTAGCCTTCTGCGTGATGTGCCTGGTGCTGCTCCACACAGACGCCAACGAACAATCATGGAGCCAGCAGTCGTACCTTGATGTGGAGTATCGCCTCTCCTGCAACGATAGCTCTATCAATGTTACGGTAAATCTGTTTACTTTTGCATCTTATAAGAAAAACTGTTAATAAATGTATAGTTTCCTAATCATTTTGTATCAGTACTGTAATCTGTGTAATTTTTAAGTATCATTTTAGTAAGTAAGATAGTAAATTTCACACCCCCAGGACATCATACAGAGCGACATACACCCGGTGACACAAAGTGCCAATCTGCGAGTGAGGATCACGCGTGGAGAGGTACTAGAAACCCCGTTCAACCGTAAGGTTATATTACCCCCACCCCCTCCCCGACAACAGCCAGGGTGGGTCTTCAAAATAACGAAAAATTGCATCTCTCTGTCTCTCTCTTGTTGTATCCCACCAGGACATCACACAAGCGATAAACATCTGGTGACATAAAGTACCACCACGCGGATGAGAATCATACGTAGAGAGGTCCCGGAAACCCATTTCAGCCGTTATGGCCACATTTGTGGCCCAGCTATATTCAGGGCTCCCGCGAAATCCAGGGTGGGGCTTCGTGGACTTTATATATATATATATATATATATATATATATATATATATATATATATATATATATATATATATTTATACATACATATAAATACAAGCATCGTTTGTCAGTACTTCGGAATCGATGTGTAATCAAAATGCATGCATCAATAAAGCAAAATTACTGTACACTAATATTTACTCAAACATATGGAAAAAGATTCTTTATACTTTTTTACCATTCGCCGTCCTTTTTAGGATGACATGTTTCGTTATTTGAAGCTCCATCGTGGCTCTTGCCCGGGGCCGCAATATAGCTAGGCCATAAATATGGTCTAATGGCTTAACGCGGTTTCTGGGACCTCTCCACGGTGATCCTCATCCACATGATGGTACATTGTGTCATCGGGTGTTTATCGCTTGTGTGATGTCCTGGTGAGGTAGAAAGTCAGTCAGTCGGTCAGAAACAGGTTCTATAATCTTCTGTTTACATAAACAAGTTATTGAATTTTTTTCTTTGTCTCCCTTTGTCATTTCAACTAGGACTATACTTGCTGCGTTTCTGTTCTACAGTCAAACAGCAGGTTTTTTTTTTTCTAACCTTGGGCCAACACCCGTGACTTCAGCGACTGAAGTAGTAGACCTTTGCCCGTCATGCTAGACCACAGAGTTGCATCGCCGGGCAGGCGCCTGCCAGAGCCGCTGTATAGTCCGATGCGAGAGTGACAATCTGTGTCACAGTTGTCACATCTGTGAGATGAGGCAGGTCCCGCAGCAAGTGACTGCATTGTGTACGTGTGCCTCGTGTCCAGAATCAGCTTGCGCCCAAAGAGCACCACTCTGTTTCGCACATCTTTTTTCCGGGAATATCTGTTTGCTGCAACTCTCTCCCATGTTTCTGTATCTGTTCAAAGGGTTCTCATATCCTGTTTACAAACATCCTTATATCGCTTTGTTTCGCACTGAAACGGCCGTCTATATTGAATCATGAGTTATACATATGAGGGTGTATTTTGTATACTATCCAGCGCTGCCATGAACTTCTGTAATTCAAGCCATTGTTTGACATAGTTCATATTTGTTTTTGTGTTTTGTTTCTTGTTGCTGTTCTTCTTCTGATGAAGGCTAATCGCCGCAACGTCCTTTGTTTATTCTAAAAGGATTTGTAAAGCCGATATATACTTTGTGTTTTCCTTATCATTTTCTATCTTTTTTTTTTCCTTCCCTTTTTTAAAGTCTTTTTAGACTATCGTATTTGGGGTCTTTTGATTGACCCTTTTCCTGTGGTTTTTTTTTTTTTTTTCTGTAAAGTAGATATCTGAGATTTCCTTTTAATGTTACGAATTTTCATTTCAATGATCTCCTGTAGGCCAAAGGTGATGTCGCCGGTATCTGGACAAAACTGGGTTACGATGGCGACCTGACAACAGACGACAACTACGAGTTGACTGACCGGAACATGTCGCTGGTCATCAAGAGAGTGACCCCTGAGATGGCTGGGATCTATTTCTGTGAGGTCATCGACCAGGACGGGGAGAATGTAGGTCGCGTGGTGAGAGGTTTGAACGTGGTGGAACATCGGTACCACGACATACTGGATAAGGTACGTGCGCATTATCTCCCCTTGCCTTTAAAGTTGATAACTTACTGATTTAGGAATCGACATCTTAGCACACCGGTTATACTCACTGATGCTCCGTCTCCCGCAGCAAATTCTTGAGGTATAGATGCTAACTGTTCCAGTAGCGCATTGATTATACACACGTCGTTCTCTACCTCTACACCAGTCCATGACGGATCCACTTCTAATTTTCGTTCACACATTCTTACTCATTCATGTTCTTTCATCTTACCTTGTGTCTTCTATCAATACTCATTCATATATGGTTTT